ATATACTTCTAATGTGTTCGTTTTTTTAACAGACATCTTTATAAGAGCAGACATTTTTCTGTTTAAAGAATAAAATCAGAAAGTAACAAATTTTATATTATCATCAAATGTTCATCTTTTTTATATTCAAGGAGGCGAGTGTTTACTGTAAACTTATTCCATATTGCACCAACTTCGCGAACTAACATTACACTAATTAGAATAGACCCATTTCCATCTTTTATACTAGTTTAAAGTGCACGAGTTGTACACTATGCTGGTCTATTTTTTAAAAAAGGATCCCTTTTAGTGTTTGAGAAATATGACTGTGAATATGGTTAATTATTGTCTAAAAAAGCAAGTTTCGAGACAAACAAAACAAGTCTCTGGAAGTCGCGCACGCTGAAGATGAGACATATACGCACTTTTTCTGCCAACTAACAAGCGGAATCATTTCTTAAGAGGAGTTCCTGACTAGCATGACTTTCCCGCTTTCTCTTCGGTTCATGGTAGTCTAAATTCTGTATCGTTTATGTCTTCAGAGTTATGTAAAAGTAATATAATCGGGCTAACCGGAGGTATTTTTAAACGCATCACATATTGTTACATAAAGTAAGGCCAAATGTTTTGGGATTCATCAGTTATTATCAATAATGATAAAGATCAATATTCACTTCAGTTCAGTTTATGCTGGCATAGCCATAGATACACGAAAAAAACATTGCTAGTGCAAAAGTTTGTAACAAAAAAACTGCGTTTGATTAAGAATCTAGGCAGATAACTTTGTCGACATACCCATAGAGGAAGAAGTGAAGATATATAAGAAGATATTTGTTATTCATCATTTCTTACGTCTATATTTTTATTTATTTGCGATTAACTGGTGCCCAATGGGTCTGTCAGTACAAATAAAAAACAACAACTGAGGTACATTGCAAAATAGGATCAAAATGTATATGTATTGAGCTTAAACTAGCGGCAATCAGATACACGGAATTTTCCATCTAGCTGCAGCTAAACTGAGTCTACCGTCAATAAGAAACAACTAACTAGTGTCGATTAATGAGCAATGACTTGCCCGATTGATCCGTCAATGCAGCTCCTGTTTCAGTCAGAACATGATTTCAACAAGCATGCAGCTAAATAATTTTATCGGTTAAACTTTACTTTACTTCGTTGCTTGAAAAATTATTTTCTAAAACAATGGCGAAAACTAGGGAAAAATGGTGTGAGTGTCATCACCAAATTTTATTCTTTTTCTCGTTGCCTTCAGCCTGGTCGTCCTTAATGGAAGGCTTCTAGAAACAAAACTGAAATACGGTTTTTGTTCTGTTTATTAAATTCTTACTCAGTAAGAATTTCGAAGGTTAGATAAACGAAAAAGAAAGCAAATTATTCTCACCTACTAACAGAACGAATTGAAAGTTAGACGACTGGCCGTTTACTCCATGCGTTGGAATAATTTATTGATAAAGTCTGATTATGCAAAGTAACACAAATTAGGCTTGAACTACTGAATACTGAATAAAATTCTGAATACAAAATATCATTCTTATATAGTGATATAAAATGAAATAAAAATTATGGTTTAATAACCAGTATTAATATTGAGATACAATTTGATATAGAGTTTTCTCCGAATAGTCCAGCTTGTCATCAATTGAGCAATCACCATAGACACTCATATGATCGTTTGAGAAAAACCTACATGTAGCCTTTCTTTCGAATTTAAGTGATGAATGGCTAATATATAGTTCGATATCTACGCCTACCTTTTCCCTATAGAAATATTTCTGTTTTTCAAACACAATATGTGAACACATACTATCAAAGAAAAGTGCTTAAGTTAGCAAAAAGAAAATGTTATTATTAATAATGATTTGGACCATGCATAGAATATATGATCGTTGGGACGTATACCGATGAAATTTCTTTTTAAATGTACGAATCACCTTTTTTTTGGAGTTGATCTGGAACAAATTCTCTGAAAGCATGGGATCAGTGTAATTATTTCAGAACTTTGTATCTGCTTGCCAATATGTTCATCTCTGATACATGCTTTTTCGAAGCGATTTGTAACGGGAACCTTCATCCTTCTCTCTAACGATGTTTTACTATCTGTGACGCAGCGGCTGTATGAAACCATTACTGCTGACGATTTATTTGTTGCTTACAATATACAAAAATAATAAAAAATGTTTGCTATAAATGAAGGATTCACTAATTAGAAATGTATTAATCAATATCAATTATAGTTTGTACATTTATTTGAGCTATTGAATAACGGTTATTGATTCCAGCTAGATTTTTATGAGGATGTTGTTGGTGTTAGTGACGTTGAATTATTATAGTGTTCGATTGGCAGTAATATTATTTTGAGATATTTTTGAATTATATCTATTTCTTTGTCATTTGTACTAAGAACTAGATGTACAATCCATAAATTATCACTATATTTTTTAACAGAAATAATCTTAAATATTGTTTGAAATGAAAATAATATCTCATTTTCATCCAAAATTTGACTGAATAGTGCAATATTAGCGAAGGGTTGTTTTAAAAGAGTACCATCACTTATGTTAAGATCTATTATGTATAAGACTGATTCATATAGGGGACGTTGTGACCCATTTCCACTATAAATAAGAGCAACTTGAGGCGATGACGTTGTTGAAAAGAATGTTTTAATTAAAATATAACCACCAATATGACATTTTAATCGACTAAATTCTTTTAGCGTCATTAGTTGTCCTCGATAAACAGTCAATTTTTCTTCATTTGGTGCTAATGATCGAACAAAATCAACGTGAATTTTTAGTAGTTGGTCATAAAGACCAATTATGAAACAGCGTAAATCAGCTATAATGTTCATATCATTTGTTCGTAATGCTATATTTAATAAACGATACAAGAATGAGTCTTTTATATACCATCTTACAGCATCATCTGAACGATACTTGGTTTCAAATTCATTAATTTTCGCTAGTTCATGTGGATTATCTTTGCAATATAATCGACATTGTTTTAGAATTATTTCATTGACCATGTCTGTATTTGGTGACATATGACGTAAAATTTCAATTAGTTCTAGTAAAACAACGTCCAAATAATCGTTCTGTTGTTTAGTAGCTTGATATTCATCATCACATAATGTTAAATGTACAATACAAATATTATAGTCTGCATCTAGTTCTACTGAGTCAATTCGAAATATCGTATTGATCGAGATAAGTACTTCGTCGCCATCTGGACAATAGCTTGCCTGTTTAATATTGGCAATCGGCTTTCCAGTTGTATGATTCATATGGAGATCGATCACATACAAAATCGAGTCTGTATATGGATAATGACGTGGACCATCTCCGGCAAACATTAGAGCTACGTTCCGGTTCATCGTTGTTGTCCAGTATGACTTTTTCACTATCAAGCCACCTATATTACGTTTCAGTATTTTCAGTTCATTGGGAGGTGCCAAATGTCCACGATATACAGTCAAATAATTCCCTTGCCTAGAAGGAATAATCTACAAAAAAAATAAATATCTGAAATATGTATGTCAATGACAGGTCTAAAATTTGTGATTTTTATCCAAGCTCGGCCCCATACTATAGTTATGTAGAATTTTCTCTTGGAATATTCATGCATGGGATCAAATTTATACTTTTATCATATGTTTTAATAGTATGCATTGCCATGTTGATATTTGAGAAAAAATTTCGAATATATACATGGACACGTTGAAGAAGGTAACTGATGGTGTTAGATTGAAGTTCTTCCAGTAATAACTTATATAAAATTTAAAGCTGATACATAGATTACAATCCGCAAAGCTCTGTTCAATAGTGTATTGTTTATTTCTATAAACTATTACGGGTAGTCGGTTGAAAGTCGTCTTTGAAAAGCGTTGTTCGAAAAATGGCTATTTTTGTATCAGATTCAAAGCTTTTACGGGCCACACTGCAAATTATACATCCGTTCTCCATACCTATTCCTCATTTGCATAGTATAAGCTATTTACAGAAACAAAGTGGAGAGGGTGGACTAGTTTTGTATTGTAAAATTCTTTTTTTCTAGAAAACTTAAACGTGAAAATAATTTTTGTGCCTGAGAGTAAAATCGGATAGGCCATGTACTTATAAACAAAAATAATAAGATATTCTGGATCTACTGTGCAACATTTTTGTGCAGAGTTATGCCGTAAATACTTAATCGGTAAGTATCCGATGATCAAAATGATTTTTGTGCATCACATAGGTCGAATGAATCAAAGATGAAATTACCTTATTTTCATACATTTCGTTTATTGTTCTGTCTTGATGCTCAACATGTAATTTATGTAGTTGGTCATAAATATCAACTATATAAAAGCCAAAATATATTATAACATCAACATTAGTCGTCAAAAGTGCTCTGTTCAATAAATCATTTAGACAACAATCGCGTGAGTACCAAGTAATTGCTTTGTCTGAACTGTATTCTTGTTCAAATTCGTTAATTTTTTGTAATTCGGTTGGACTATCTTTGTATTCTGCTCGACAATAATCAAGCAGCTTTTGCTTTTTAACATCTGGAGGTAGCGGGGTGCGACGTACAATTTCAATTAATAACTCAAAACATTTAAATAAAATTTGTTTTGTGTAAACATTATGTGTCGATTCACCTTCTACATTAGAATCGATTATATTTGTTGATAACAATCGTTCTCTGCTTACTTTAACGTCTTCTGAAAGTTTATCTATCAGTTTGTCTTTATTGTCAAAACTTCTCTGGTTATGTGACGAATCAATGCTTTTTGTACTGGACAGTAAATAAATTCGAACAGTTTCTGAACATTGGTTTATTAAGTCTAATAAACCCTCTCTACTTAACAATATGCTGGATATAATCAAAAATAATTTTTCATGGTCAATAGACAACAAGTAATTGACACAGTCATTCAGATTTTCGAATATTTCTAAATGACTAATAATTTTACGTAAACGAGCAGTTGTTTCGTGCCATTCGACTCCATAATCAATATTATCATCAAACCACACGAGGGTAAAGTCATCCAATGTTAAAACATTGCTATCGTTGTTATTCCATATAACAGAAAACATATCTTCCATTGATAACCGACGCTAATAATAAGATACAAATGATACCTTACTTAGAAAAAGGTATGTTTTTCACCGTCAGATGTGTTCAGAAGTACTTGCTGTTTCATAATTTGCTGTTAAAAATATCCTTACGATGGAATAAAAGTATAAAAAGCCCATCATATTACTTTTTGTATTTTCGATAGCATTATAAAAAGATGTGTGCCCAAGCTAAAAATATCAAACTCTGTCGATCCTGAGTGCGTGGTTTTCTAATAATCCCAAAGAAATCCTAATATGGGTAGAAAATTTGAAGCGCCATCAGTCATAACATGGTTAAACTTATTTCTGCTTGTGATATAGCCAATTCAATTTCCACACAAAATTAGGTAAATAAAATGTTTTCACCTTTCAAAATACTTTGCTGGCTGAGAAATTAAGTTTCTACTTAAGCAGGTCGAAGCTTTTCAAGAAAAGCATCTGATCAAGTATTTTGTTTATAATAAAAAAGAAATCAATATTTCTGAGCAACAGCTCATTCTATGAAGAAAAAACCTGGACGAAATGTAATAGTTACTTGTTTTCAG